CTGCTTCTTGTTCTCCCTCCCTCCACCCCTGTCTCTGCCAGGTGCCTCCTCTCAGTCAGGCCTCAGAGCAGCCCTGGAGACAGGAGGGCCACGTTAAAAGCTTTTTCACAGTTTTAAGAAGACAGGCGGGTGAGGACAGTGGTGGGGGGTCTGGCACTATCTCAAGGTGGCAGCTTCTCTCCCACCCTCCCCAGTCCCTCTTTCCACCCCTCTCTTCTCCTTGGTAATGAAGTCTATTTATTGGGGAAGGAAATAGCTGCTGCTACTCCTGCTGCTGGGACTTGCTCCCCATCTCTTCTTCATGACCTTTCTCCAGCCAAGGAGGGGAGAGCCAGGAGTATTGGGGCTGGGCCCTGGGCCCACAGAGCAGCAGGGGCCCCTTTGCTTTCCTGTGTTCAAGCTGCCCACCATTTCTGCTCTCCCTGCTTTCCTTCCACCCACCCTTCCTCCCTCCCTCCCCACTGTGCCCTGCCTGTCCAGCCTTGGCCCTGCAGTGTGGAGAGACACATAAGCCTTACTGTTCTCTGGGGGCAGGAGCCGAGCCTTTTTGTTGCTCTGCTCCCAGGAGAGTGAGGGTGACGCAATTGATTAAAACCGTTTTGTTCTAGGTATGACTGGGTGCATTTGTGTGGTGCAAATGGGTACTGGGACCAATGTGAGGGTGCCTGATCCCTCGCCGCTGTAGCTCTGTGACTGAGTAACCACACCTCCAGCAGGCAGAGTGAGGCTGCCTTGGGAGGGTGCCTATGAGAGTGGACACCAGCCTAGCAGGGCTCAGGCCAGTGCCTGACACTCAACTGGTGGCTGGCTATGATTTGCAATAATCAGCTCTCACTCTCCGGGCTGTTTTCTCACCCGTAAAATACGGAGTTTAGGGTCTTAGTGGTTTTCCAAACTTTTAAATTAGAACCCAAACAAGAAATAGACATTTTACATTGTGACCTAAGATACCTATGCTTATTTGTATATATACAATGACCATAAGTTTTATACAGTAACTAGAGGCCCGGTGCACAAAAATTTGTGCACTCTGGGGGAAGGGGGGTCCCACAGCCCGGCCTGTGCCCTCTCGCAATCAGGGAGCCCTCGGGAGATAACAAACTGCTGGCTTAGGCCCGCTCCTGGGTGGCAGAGGACAGGCCCAATCCCTAGGTGCAGCCCCTGGTCGGGCTCAGAGCAGGGCTGATTGAGGAGTTGGGGCGTTGCCCCCTGTCATGCACAGAGCAGGGCGGATCAGGAGGTTGAAATGCCACCCTCAGTCATGCTTAGGGTAGGGCCGATTGGGGGGTTGGGACACCCCCCCCTGTCACACTCAAGGCAGGGTCGATGGGGAGGTTGCGGCGCCACACCCTGTCACGCACAGAGCAGGGCCCATCAGGGGGTTGGGGCGCTGCCCTCTAT